ACTTTTGTCGTTGTCGTTGTCGTTGTCGTCGTCGTTAGCCTAGCCTTTAGTGGGCTACGGGCGGCTTCGTAAATGCAATGAAGAATAAAGAAAACAACCAACTGAGCTGAACTTCTCTATCCGGTTATAAGATCTTAACGTTTTGCTAGATTATGTTGAAAAATACAACAACAAAAACGATGTTATGAGAAGGGCGAAGCGAACACTTATGAATTAAAAGTTAATGGCATAAAGGCGAATAATAACAAGTGAAAGAGAGCGAACACGAAAACGAAACGAAATTGAGAAACGGAAAAGAGTTATTTGTAAATCAAAATTATATGGAAGCGATAATCAGATGATTACATGCAACAAACATTTGATCGAGAGGCCTGCATAATACATATGATCCACACACACACACATACACATTATATAAGCCATTGTTTGTTCAGTTTTCCGTTGCATGATGCTTGGATTGTAAAGAAAACTAACCAAATGAATAAATATTGATTATGGGGGAAAGTTCTGCAGTAGACTTTGCCTTACTCCCGTCATAGGATTTCATTGTTATTACTAAGGTATATGTACACTTGACCAAGACTGACATGTGTGACTTTTCCATGTTATGATTATAAACGTGAAACTTTGTTCAAAGAATATTTTCGAAGTTTATCTTTCCATTTCCATATTTCAGCTGCATGGGGAACCAAGTCCAACAGAATATATTTTTCGTTTAGAGCTCGTAAATTTGGATGGTTTCGTCCATAATTTTTTTTAAAAAAGAGTCAGAGAACATTTGTGATCGACTTTTAGCTTGATTAATGATGATGACAAGGCTGCGGCTGATATTTACATGTTTCCAGAATCATGTTCAGTTCATACATTTGGCTCTGCTTTCCAATTGCATTAACAGTACATTTATTCATAAATCGTGAAAAGGTTTTACAAATTTCTTAGCCTCTTTTGCCAACATAACCCTTCTAGTTGACATCAACAAAATTCTATCCAAATCAAATATAACCTCACTTTTGCATTAAATTAAAATCTCTCACATACGTATGGATTAGTAAGCAAAAACTATACCAAGAGTGAGTCTAAATGTTGTTCAACTACCTTTTCCAATTTTAAATTACATTAAAGGTTTATTAAGATTTTTGAAACACTTTTATTATTGATATAAGCCATAATCAATGGCAATCATTTCATCACATATTCTTGGGGCCTAGCGACCAATAGAAGAATATATTACAGCTACATACGTATGTGTACGAGCTATAACGGTTCATTAGATCTTTATTTCATTTGCTGGGTATTGACAATACGACCTCAGTCTCATCTTTGCTCATTTATTCGCATTTTTGTCACTGTTATTGTTTCGTTTGGTGTCTGACCTTCCTAAAGGCAAGATTAAATGATTTATTGAATCCAAGTTTAAACTATGCTTTTGCTCCAGCAAACAAGCGTGTTTGTTAGGGCAGAAAAATGCTGCCGTAATAGGCATTGCGACAGGCCAGCACAATTGCTAGCATTTTCAGTCAAGTAAGGCATCTGGCTCTAGTGCCTTTTAAGCTGAACCATCAGGCAACGTGTAAAGAGAACTTTAGCAACATATAGCTAAGATGTACTACCTTCCCCGCCCCGTTCAGTAGACGTTGTTTATTAATTTTAATTTATTTAAAATTGTTTTTGTTGATGACCTATTCTTGTCTATTCAGAGTCGGGAATTCAGAGTCCGTCTAGTTTTCTTGTGTTCAATGTACAAGCCGCAATTTTGGAAATATTTTAATGGAATTTGGTATACTAATATATTTTGGACCAAGCACAAAAGCATTTCGAAATGGTTCGAAGGATTGAACTACTTTTTCGATCACTTCCTATATGAAGCGTTGTTTTGAGAACTTTTTACATGAATAAATGTAGGATGGTGTAGGATACTTAAAGGTGCGCCTTAACGCTTTTGTTTATTTTAACATGGTCCCTCCTAATTGGAAAGCTTCAGCTTGGTGACTCAAATCGATTATTTAACTCGGAGTGTATACGTCGAGAAGTGTGGCCAGTGCTGCAGAAACGTATAAGGGTACTTTGAATTCTCTTACCTTTCTGTGTTTTCTTTCGTCTAGGAGGAGTGAATGTAAAAAATTAACAAAAAAAAAATACAAAAAAAGACTTTTTTTTTTTTAAAAAACAAAATTTTCGAAGATTTTATTGAATTTCTAAACATAAAACAATCGTAACATGGAAAAACGACAGAATTTTGCAAGTTTTCGATAAATGTATGTACGTAAGCATGTTTGTTTGACAGAAGCGATCGTTAAAATATTTTTACAAGAAAATTTGTGATCAAAGTTTTGTTTTCAGAAATGTGCAATAAAAAACTAACTTCAACTGACATTTGATTTGATACAAAAAAGTTTACACAGAATTTTTTTTGTAACAGAGAAAAAAAATCAACAGAAAGATGTTAAACAAAAGATAGGCGAATAAGTCAAGAATACAAAAAACCATTGCGCACACATTCACACAACTGTTTATATATTTCGATATATATATACAAACAAATAAAATGAATACATAAATACATACTATACATATTCATACTCGTGAATATATAGATTGATATGACAGCTGAGATAAGGTCCCGTAAGAAAGCGACCAGCGAAACTGTAAGACATGCATACTTTTGCATAAGCATATGTAACAATGACAACAACAATAACAAAACCAATAACAACAAATGACAGTTGCATACATATGTTTATTTGTTGTTTGTATTGCGCTACGCTTATAGCTTGTAGCAGCTTTCATATGTTATTTCAGCTGCTCTAGGAGAAAGAGAGCAATTGCTCGCTTTTATCACATGCAGGTCTGCCAGAGATCAGTATTACCAGCATATTTAATGGTTCTTGCTATATGTACATTTCATGAAATCAAAGAGAAGTAATTCTCAGAAATTTTGCAAGCAGAACGAAGGATAAACAAAATAAAAGAAAAACAAACAGAAAATCCATATTGAATCTTGTTATAAGCGTTAACCTGTCAATTTGTTGCTATTGAAATGTCATCTGTTGGTAGCAGCTTTCGATAATGGTTATTGCTACGTTTTGATGGACAATTTTTTACTACTGCTGACTCTCTCTCCTGATTCGTTTGTGCTTACGTTTTGGGTATCGGATTCAACATATGATTGTGTGCGCTTGAAATCTCTCCTTATTTTTTATTACCAATTTTAGTGCCAAGTGATTTTGTGCCGCCTTTTTGAAAAGCCGATAGCCGGGTAAGTAAAAGTTTTTACATACAAAATGAATAAAATTTGCTGGTTAAGCATATCCTATGGCATGCGCGCATGCATACAATTTGACACTGAAACGTGTATCTGCTTAAGCAGAGTTAAGTAGCGCTTAACGAAGCAGTGAGTTGTGTGAAACGGGTAAAACGGGCCATAATGAAAAGGTTTTTCTACACATCTCTACAATTGTTAACTGAATTGAAAATTTATCTTAAATTATTTATGAAGAACTTTTAACTTTTTAAGAACCGATCTCAATTTGACAAGATCAAGTCTTGGTTAATCGGATCGTTTTTCAATCCCTAAAAATGGAAGTGAGAAAGCGGAGCTAAAGCGGATTTGTACTCTCCATACTATTGATGATGATTTCATGCACTAATTGCATTGTTTTAGGGGAGAGATGGCATGTGGCGACGTCTGCTTGAAACCAGATGTCGTTCACATCAATATCATCCAATATAGACGGAAATAACTGAGCTAGCGAGCACACGTAAAACTCGATGCCTGACCATCATCGCTTTCAGGAATGGTTTCAGCTCAAAAACGTCACCAAACAGTGGTACCTTCGTTTTTCGACACACACACACACACATCACATGTACATATGCTGTGAAGCTCAAATGAGGCAATCGCGACGATTAACGAAGTCATCAAGGTGACTATATTTTTTACGAAATTTGCGAGATGTCGTCGCCTTACTCCCATTATTTTTGAAATATGATTTAACAACGAAAATGTGTTGCTTTCTCGTGTAATGCTTCAGTTTTACTAACCCTAGGCTGCCGATTGCAAGATTTGGCGGCAAGTTCAAATTTTGCGTAAATTTTGGTACACCCTTCATAATACTTGTAAGCAAACTTGTTATATTAAGTAAAGACGTTCCGCCTGAGTGGCCATAGGCGAGGAATCTCCACTAGCAACTCAATGGTCGCGGGTTCGCATCTCAAGTGCGGTAGAGTTTTTAATAAAAAAGCCGATAGCCTTAGACGTTAGTACTGTTAAGAGTTTAGTCTTAGAATTCATTTCTCTGAGAGAAACTAATAATAATAATAATAATAAATAAAGACGAATTATGTTTACAATGTAACTTTTATTTATTTAGGAAAAATCTCATCATTTTTCTATAGAAAATTTTCACTGACAGTTATGAACACATCTGACGAACATAAAATTTTTTTTTTTTAAAAATTTTTCATTTACGGATATATATGTAGTTCTTCCTTGGATTTTTTTTTCATACATACGTACTTATATGTATGTAAACCATACGGTTAAATACATAGAAGTGCACATGTTCTTGCTTTGTAAATACTTCCTACACTTTGACGTTTGTCATCCCACGAAATCTTTAAAAGAATGTTGGCTTACGCAAGTAGTCAAATAGCTGCTACTTCTGTCACGTTAACGGAGACATCAATGTCTGCAGTGAATGAATGCCATTTCTACTTTACAAGTAGTCTTAGGATTCTAGGTAAACCGCCAACAGCTTGTGGCCTTACTGAAATTGCATTTATACAAAGACAGTTTGATGGGCAGTTCATTGGTGCGGCGCTATTGGATTGTTCTTCCATTCCAGTAAAACAACAGCAATCTTCACATACGTTCAAAAAATTGAACGGTTTCCCATCTAAAGAATCAGAGTCAACATTGAAGGAACAGTTATGTATCCGCAAAAAACGGCAAAGAGAGAAGAACTGCCGCTACCGTCGAAGGAAATTGCAGCGATGTCTACGGACTTAAGACAGTCGGGCATGTTGGCAGAATGGCAGAAATGATGCGAAGATGGCTTGGAAGAAAGGAGGACTTAGGGGGAAACACGGCGAACTCAGTTTCTTCCTAACTCAATATTTCACTGTTCATGGAAATTTCTCGAGTTAGCCGTACTGTTTCAACTTACGATATCATGGTAAATGCGAGCTGCACCAACCCATAAGCGACGATGGGCAGCATACTGTGTTGCGTCAGAAAGCCACTTTTCAGACTTCTGGAAATAAAACTTACGCCATATGGTACCATGTTAGCGATCGCGTAAATAGACAACGAAAGATGGAAGAATTTCACCGGTTATGGGCAAGTTGGCCTTCGATATAAAGCCAAACGAAGACGACAAGCGAAAATCTAATCTTAGAGGAGGACGGGAAAGGTCGGATGATATACTGAGGTAATGCGGGATGGCTTTGATCCCAGTGTAGGGCCATTAGTTAGCTGCTGCCACTACGTTCGAAATTAAAAATAGGCAGACAAGCTTCAGAAAATGATCCTGAATCGATCGGTATAATAAAAGGTGGATGTATTTTAGGTCCTTCCAGCTGTTGCATACGTCCATATAAACTTAATACGGCCTTATACCCCAAATAGTGCCGTGTGTAAGAGAGATCCTTGTTCTACAAAAGGCAGTCGACATAAAAATATGGTAATGATATATATATAAAAGTGTGCATTTTGTTAAGTTTATAAACTAACTTAACTTTTCAATAAAAATAATCGCCGATGTGCTCGCGAAATGCATGAAATGTTTTCATTCGTAATTGGCTGCTGTGAACATTGAAGACGCAATTCATTGCCCTGTACTTGCATTAGTTTTCTAATATTTTTATTTTTAAACAGAAATCAAAGCAAAATAAGCAGATATTGTAGTAAAAAAAATTATTTAATAGACGTTTCGCCAACGAGGTTAAAAGAAATGAATAAAGTCATCGAAACAATCATTCCGCTTGGAATTTTTTGCTTATAATTACGATAAAAGGAATTATTCAAGTAATTCGTTGCTTTACTTGCGCTACATCAGTTACACTAAAAATTTATACTAAGTTTGTATGCATGTATGACAACAATAAAGGAATTCGGCATAGGTCTAACTTTTATTAAGCCAATCCGAATCTGTCTGTCGTGTCCGTTCATTTAATGTCTGTCCAAAGTATGGGTGGCAAATTTCAAGATATTCGGACAATATTTGATACACTGACGTGCTTTACTCTAAAGGCAAATCTAATTGCGAACGATTTGAATTGGAGAATTTCCAGTGGAGAATTCTTGGACACACCTCTTCACACCTTCTCTTTTCAATAAGCTGATACATGGAAAAGACATTCTAAGTTTCAAAATTTCTAAACATAAATCGCTTAGTAATTGAAATTTGGATTGGATGCTTCCCCTCTTTAAATCCTCTCTTATATAACCGTCTCGATAGAAAGTTAACCTCTATGTGTTGAAAAGGTATAGTTTTTAATATGCACGAAATTTGGAACACATGACCGATCCCCATCCCATGTGAGGAGCTCTGTTGCTCTTACAAGCCAACAAAAATGTAATTTTAGTATGTTACGGCGGATAGAAATGAAGAGCATTAATAAAGTCAAGGAAATTAGTTATGCTCCTGTCACTGTGTAAAGGCAGCCACGAAAAGTACGCTCTTGCCTCTAAGCAGAGAATAATTGTTATACCGTCCACCGATGGATTTTGCCGAAACGTTTGCAATCCCGAGAATCAGCATCAAATTCTAAACCGATGTGAGTAAATACATCTGTTCCTCAGCCTGTTTGACCATCTGCCCATCTGCGTAGATTCTGCGTTAAACATTCTCTTGATCCTAAAAATGCAAAAATCGGCTTCAAATTTGTCACGAAGATTGGAAGTTTTTCCCCGCAGGAAAACAGTGAAAATCGGTTGAAGGACACGCCTAAGGACCCACGTAAACTAAGGGCATTTCTGCTTTTCAAAAGGAATAACAAGTTGCATAAACTACAGCAGATAACAAATTTGATTGTATATTTTACAGCATCTGAACCAAAATGAGAAAAATTTACCACGCCTATCTAATATATAATAGTGCAGCAATATTTAATTGTTTTCCACTACCCTTATAACGCGCAGAAGCAACCTTGAGAAGCTCCATAAAGTATACACATTCTTGGACAGTTTCAAATTCTGAGCATGAGCTCGGCAATCCATCTGTCCGTCTGGCAAAGCTCGCAGTATCTATCGTAAACATACTTCGGTTCGGTGAAGATATCTCCAATAAGTTGTACCTTAGGAATTTGGGTTGGGAGCCGCTTTTCTCTTTGTCTCCTTATGAAAATAGGTATCCTTACCGTCACTAGAGAAACGTAGATTCATTCTTGGTGTCTCCTTTCCCATTAAAATTAATTGATGGTGAGATAAGCTTTAATATCGCTAACGGCTTATTTAGGCACTTTATGTTCATTAAGCTAAGTCAACGTACATATGATTATGAGCTGTTTAATCCGTTTAGAGTAGAGCTTGCAAAAACCTCAACGATGCCTATCGCGTAATCGCAATATCGGATTCTTTGAAGTCGATCAAAACAACTTTGCTTAATACGCTCGATCTGCTTATGTCGTATTTAAACTAACTTTAAATCTTAACATCTCATTATGATTCGAAAATTAACTGGTGTTGTTCACTGTATCGGTTGTCAAACTTTCGCGTGTTTGCGATGGCTTAGAGGTTCACTTGCAATATGCTTTTGTACTGGGTGTGCCTCTGTGCTGGTTTGTGAACATGCTTTTTTTTCTTTATTTTTGTTTTCGTTTTTTTTTTTTCCTTCTTATTTATTTATGCATGAATTATTATCTTTACTACTCCTTATATACTTTATGCTTGCTTTTAATATTAATTAGTATAAGATTTACTTCTAAGAGTTAATTGAATTCGACTGTTCACTTGTTTTAGTTAAATTTCATGTGTATGTAAAAAATAATGTGAAAATACAAGCCTACAACACTCGCACACCCATACAGCAACAACTGTGAACATATTTGCAATCCGTGTTTTTTCCTTGTTGCTTATGTAACACAACACATACCCTGTATAAAAATCCACTTTTATTCTGAAAATAAAAAAAAATCAACCACGCCTCCCCGACATTATAAGGCATGAAAATTTACTTCTTTTCTTTTGCTTAGTCGACGATGGGTATAAAAGATTCGGTCACGATCGAATGTGAATTTTTTACTCTTCCCGTATATTTGCGAAGCATAAAAAAGAAAGTGTACTATGTCTAGAGTTGAGTGTTAAATTTGATCAGAAGAAGACGAAGAAGTCATCGTGGACGAGATCTTTACGTTGGTCTTAATTGTTAGCATTTAAAGTAGATCTTATCATATTCAATGGCTTCGATGTGTGAAGATATTTGGGACACTGTTCAACTGTTAGTCCGCAAAAGAATCAAGTCAAGTCTCAATAAATTTATACGATTTTCTTATATTCTGACAATCGCAAAAAACAAAGAATGCCTACAGTTAAGTGTACATACAGTTTCGGTATAATTTCGCAGATCAAATTTGAAGGTAGATGGTAAAGCGTCCGTCTATAAAACCAATACATTCTACGACATGTTGAATAAATTTATCATAGTCATCTATAAATTTGATGCCAACAAAATCCCGATCGATGAGTTGACAGACATACAATTCAATAAAACTTTGTCATCATAGTGCATATGTTAGTAGTGATGGGTGTCTAAAATTCAACCTAAAACGAGTATAAGTTTCGTGCCTATCCTTGCTTAGTACTATCACGGAAGCAATTAAAAGCTTGCTTAACAACGAAATGCTTTTATAATTTTCAACAGCTAGTTATCCTGATATGATATTTTATACATATGTGATTCAGAAGCAAATAACGAGTCAAGGCTTCTAATAGACTCTTCGGTCATAGAACAGAATTTTTCAATATATACAACATATATATACATACACCGATGAAACTGGGAAACTTGAAACGACGTGATTTTATAGATAATGCGGTCATCTTTCGACGCAGCCTTATATATCAGACGAAGGAGTTTTTTGAAAATTCCACTTTGCATGGCGTGCGTTACATAGCGGAGACTGGCCGGCCGACAATAGAAAAGTAAAGGAATTGCAAAAGTTGACAAGTGAAGTGCTTAACGATTTTCTTTATATGCCGTTCACTAAACAACCGGAGCACATTAACTTTCTTGATTCGTTCTTCCCTCTTATGAGTGGGCTTTTCACTCCATTCGCTCCATTTTCATTCACTTCAACCTTTCATCATTTTTACCTAAATCTAACAACTAACGAGTAAAAGGATTTGGAAATTTTTCAAAATTCTCGGTTTCCCCCCACTGCGCCTAATTCTCGCTTCTGATAGTGAACCCGAGAAGCGATGTTGTGAAATAATTAAAACTAATAATAAATCAGAGAAATGAAACACAGAAGTGCAGAAAGTGAAATGAACGGCTGTTAGTGGAAATTCGTGGATGATAATAAGAAATTTACAGGCGACGGCCTCGCCCTGGAAAATTGTCTTTTCTTAAACTGTACAGCATTTGTGGTGTGCGGTTATGTTAAGTTTGTCGGGACTTGAGTTAGACCCAACTTTCAATGTAGCGATCGATTCAGAAAGTAGTCGTGAAGCTTGTCTGTCCGTCTGCCCGTCTGCCTGTCTTGTATTTAATTGCAACAGGCCCCAATTTGAGATATTTCGATGGTGATTTGGTACACTGGCGTGTTTCGACCCACGGATGAACGCTGTTGAAAATGGTTGGGACTGGGCGACTTTTTAGATCCCATCTCTTATCAGATCTTATTTTGAAAAGTTCGTATATGAATAAATGTATTAAGCGGTATGACGTAGGGCATTGATGAATCCTGTCTCACTATAATAATGAATCTTTGAAAGCCGTTAACACAGTTTTCTATCTACGACGTCTTGTGTGAACTGCCATAAAATTGGCGAAATTATTTACTAACTGCGGCTCGAATACAAACTAATTTTTATGCTTTCCGTGCAGATGATCTCGTTTGACTTTGGTGTACGGAGTAAATAAAACGATAAGCACTTCACCTATACTTCATAGTTTACTTTACATTACGAAATTTAGATTAAAAGGTAAAATTTATTTACTTATTTTTCTTTTTTAATAGATTTATGTGGTTCTGTTTTACGGCTATTGGAACAGTAATTGCTTTGGTGATTATAATGAGTTTATGGGAGAAATTTCAAACGAATCCCACTATAACAGGTGAAATTACTACTGAAAACTATATTCAACAATAAAAATGTGATTGTGTGTGTATTTCTTAAAGGTTTGGATACCGATTTTCATAATCAAAATGTAATCTTCCCTACAACGGTAGTTTGTCCAGTGGAAGCTTGGGATCATAACAAAACGTATAATTTCGTGTATAATACTTTAGCGTAATTATTTGACTTTTTATTTAACTCAAATTATAATTTATTTCCGTATATGAAATTTTTGTACTTCTTTAAAGGAACTACGAGGAATCGGCGGCCAATCGCATTGTACCCTTTTTGGAAAGTTTACCAAATTTAAATTTCGAAAATCTTCATAAAACGGTAGCACTTGGCATATTAATAGGAAATGAATTGAATGGACGGACATTAAGGCAATGGGCTTTTCAGGCAATCTAGTCATCAATAAATTAAACAATGAAAAATTTCTTTATAAATTTCTTTTCAGGTTACATTGCGATGTGAAGACACACTGGCGGAATGCAAATTTCGCGATGAGTACTTTGAATGTTGTAAACAATTCTTGCCGATTTATACCGAACATGGTTTCTGCTATGCCTTTAACAGTCGTTTTTATTCGAAGGAAGATTCTGAGTAAGTTCGACTTTGATTTTCGAAATCACTCCTTGTGAGAAAAGTATTTGTTAAGTTTGTGCGGATGTATGCAACATCTAGAAGGATTTGAGATAGACCGACCCATCGTTATATCACCGAGAAAGTAATTCCGAATCGATATAAGCTTGTCTGTCCGTCTTGCTTTCTCGATGTGTTTGCCTCAGTACCTTAAAAATGCTTTACCAAGTTTAAATTTTCTTGCCCATTATCTTATTGTTGTAAAATGAAAGGGAAAACAAAAGAAAAAGTTTAATTATTTCGACGTTACAATTTTCCTCGCACATTTTTCATTTCTTCACAGAAGCATTGCTCTCTGCTTTTGTTTCATTCAACGGTGTTGATGAAGAATTTTTGTTTGGAATGCTTTTAAACGAACTTGTATACTTTCCAAAGACATCTATTTTCATATCTGTATTAGGTGAGCTAGATATCAACAGAAAGGACATAAGGTTGAAGCTTCGTAGCAGGTATTCGTTTAAGCCAGGAAGTCTTTTCAGATCGCTTCAGATCGCTTGAAGAAACGCCCGAAATTTTAAGGAAAACTTTCTTTCAAGTTATTAGTTTTGTTCATAAATTCTAGAAGGTCCAAAGCATCTATTTAAGCCAATAAAAACAAAAAAAAAAATTTGTTATCCGAAAAACGTACAATGCTATTGCACCTGGAAGCAGAAAGCGAAAGAAATCAGAAAGTGATTGTCAAGTGGTTTGCAATCTATTGACATAATGAAAGTTGGATCTAACTCGAGTCCTTCTGCGTGTTGTATACATCATCCTCACAATCTTACGCTACTTCCACTCGCTATGTAGGGTGCAAATATTTCATTCAAAATATTTTATTATTTATTATATAACTAATGATAATCCTCTCTTTTCTTTCTTACTTTCTTTCGTTGAAGTTTAAAAACAGAAGTTCAATACGATTTATACGAAACTGATAAAAAATGGGCGTTACTATTTGAACTTAATGTTAAGGCTGATGTATGTTCATCAAAGTGAATCCAGATTATTCGGTTATTGATTCTTGAGTTATTTTTTCTTTTCATCAATTGCCGCAGATTTATGTGTTTTCGAATGAAGATTATTTCGGTAAAGAATTTAATCCACAAGTTACTTGGGATCTCGACCAGTTTGTTGAAGTGCGCATATCTAAAAAGAGCACCTATACTACAGATGAATCTCGCCAGTTGTCCATAAGGTGAAGAATATTTTGATGTTCGTTCATAACGATTTAAGTCACATTTAAAACGATTGCGATATTTGCAGCCAACGTAAATGCATATTCTATGATGAAGTTAAACTTCAATATTTCCCCGATGACTATACATTTTCGTCATGCATGAAAGAGTGTCGCATGAGAAACGCAATAAAATTATGCAAATGTTTGCCACCCTTCTATAGACCGACACGTAAGTACATTTAAGATATATTAATTACCTACTTGGGGAACTCTGTCCCTTTCTCGTTTACTATATGTAAAGCCTATGTTTTGTTTACTTCACAGCAACATGTTTGTTATTTTTCGTCCAAGATGAAATGGAAGAAATTTGCTTAGGGTTTTGTTAACTAGAGGGGTGTTGACGTTAATACGCGAAGTAACCATTCAGTGTTAGTAAATATTAGGGGTACCCATAAGTACTCCATTATTTTGAAAGAGTTTATTATGCCTTCTGCGCAGTTCGGTACTAATGGTCGAAGACAAAACATCTATCCGTTTGAAATGTACAAACTATTCTAAGAGGTATAATTCTTTCTTTGCAACTTTGCCATATAATGTCGATGCCCGTACCTTATGCGGAATTTATTGTCACGATAACAGTAAGGCAGATTTGCGATGTTTAGTTAGATGCATTGAACGTCTACAAGCGTCAAGTATTGATTCGGACAGTTTGTTGTTGCTGATTATGACCTCTCTCCACAGGTCTCCAAGTGGACGAATTTGATATGCTTGGTGTACAAGAATTGTCAAGAAGCCTTGGTTGCGTGTCATTAAGCAGACATCTAGGACGAAATTGAAAACTGAAAACGACTATAGGGACCCTTTTAGGAATATGGATACACCATTAATTATCTGAGACTAACAAGAATATTCTTTAGTCAATCTGTATTGATGTCCAAGTGTGGAAAGAGAGTTACTGGAGATGAGAGGCTTTCTGCAAATCAATTCAAAATGTTAACCCTTAAATCAAGCTTATAAAGTAGATGAACCCTTGATTTCTACAAGTGGGAGATTGAAAATCTGCAGAAAAGAAGGCCAACAGTCCTCGATGAAATTGGATAATAAAAAAAATGAAGAACCAAGAAGCGAAAACATGAAACTATGACGGACGGCGGCCTTACAGTTATTCAGATATCGATCGGACTAGAAGTGGTCAAAAAAACTAGCCATCAAATAATGCGGCTGCTGAGTGGAACAAAGGAAATTAAGGCGGACAGACAGAGAGGCAAGCTTAGAATCCTTTTCTGAATCGATCTGTGTAAGAAAAGTCGGGTACACCCTAAGTACTAAGGACAAAATTTGTTTACCTGTAGGTCCCCTTTTTATTTGTACTACATTTCTTATTATCCGTGATAGCCCCCAAGTTCTTGACGAAAGTGATCTTCGACTTTTTAAGCTCGATTTTTTCTTTTATATTTTTAGAGTTCATTTAATACAATTAATAAAAAGATGTTTTTTTTTTAATTTTTTCAGATGGTCTTCGAAAATATTCGTAGACCAAGTTTTAATTTAATATCTCTTATAGATCGTTAGTTAAAGTTTTCTAGCAATTGTGGCAATTGTGTGTTTGTGTTTGTTGCTACACCTGTTTATGTGTGTGTTATGAACTGCTACTATTAACTACTATGAACTGTAAGCTAAAGGTTCTTGTCTGTTGCGTATGGGGTTTAGGGCTACGCGTGTCTATCTTTAAACTTTCTCTGCAGTCATATAATCGTTTTTATGTCAGTTGTGATCTTCTCTGCAAATTGGTGTGACGGTGAACATTTCAAGAGTGTATCACTATAACATATATTGTTTGCGAATTCCCTGATACGTGTTTCTACATCATTTCTTTGCGCGTGTGATTAAAAGTGCAACTTTTTTATTTATGAAAATTATCGATAATTTCTTTAACTGCTAACTAATTAATAATCCTTACTGTAGAAGAATAGTAAAATGAAAATTCTTAATTTCAGCGGATCTCAGATATTGCGATATTAAGGAACTGAGTTGCTTAGAGAAACATAAACAAAACATTACACGCAACAAGGATTGCCGGCACTGTGAACTTGGTTGCTCTAAAACTGTTTATAATATTGAAAAATTAATGAAAAGGTAAAATTATATAATTAATTTTGCTTAAGTAAAATAGTAAACATTAATTTTTGGTACTTCAGTACTGAAAATCCTGCATATCATGGCGTATTAGTTGAGTTTCTTACTTGGCCGATAATTCGTTATAAACGTGAAGTACTTTTCGGTTGGGTGGATCTGCTGGTATCGTTCGGTGGTATAGCCGGTTTATTTTTAGGATTCTCTTTGTTATCCGGTGTGGAAATTATCTATTATTTCACCATAAGAGCTTGCTGCATGGTTTATAAGAATCGAGTAAGATTTTCCAAAAACAGAAAAAATTTTTATTAAAAATTTATTACACTTTCCTGCTATTTCGACGAACACAGCAAGAATTAATTGAAACGGAAGAAAAAATACGTAATAAACCGCCAGCACCGATTAATATGAAGTTAAGCACCCAAGCGTATAACAGACAACAAGTTATCTCGAAAATTGATAAGCCTAGCAATGTCCAAGAAATTTCAGTAATAGAAAGCAAACTGAGTTATGATAAGCCACCGAATTACAATGAGGCAACCTCGTCAAGACGTCGACCTGATAAGGTATAAATAATCGTTCATATATAGCATAATATTTTAAAATGTTTTTCCTATGATTTATTCTACATGTAGAGTAATCTTAAATATCCTAAGGCCACGTTTAAGGCTAAACAAGCTTTACCCAGCTTTGGTAATGGAAACAGCACTACTTGGCAGTATGGTCAATATTTACCCTAAACTCAACTTTAATTAAAGATGCACTATACAAATAAAATAGAATGTAAATGCAAAGGAAATTTGTTTTTTAAAGAACATTCAACTGAACTTGTAAAAAAACACATTTTTATACCTTACGTCACTTATGATGCAAAAGCATATTAAGTTTATGCGAGCGTTTACAGTATCCAGACGGGATTGAGGCAGATCCACCTTTTAGTACATCAATCGAGTCAAAATCACTTTACGATTCGATGCAAACTTGTCTATCCAACTGTCCGTCTTAAGTTTTTGTACTCAGCCTGTAGACGGCAATTTTCCGGACATTTTGATGATATTTAGTAAACTAAAGCCTTTGGAGCACTTTTTCGATCGTTTCCCATATAACGCCTTTTTTTGAAAGCCGATATATAAATAACTATACGATGGCATAAAGCATTTAACGGTGGCCGGTGGCCCACCATTGCCTTTTTACTCGCCTCATCTTTCTCTTAATTTAAACTACGTTTTCTGGCCAACAGAGGGAGACGGAGAGAAGGAGACAGGGCATTCGGAGTTGAAAGTATATAACAAGAAAGCTTAAGAATATTTTTACAATAAGAGATAGTACCGATACCGTATGGTCTAGGGGTTAGGACGTCAGGCAAATGCTCTGAAGGCCCGGGTTCGATTCCCGGTACGGTTGGCAAAAAACATTTTTATACTTTCTTACACATGTACATGTAGGTAGATTTAAAAAATTCTTTTACGTCTCTCGCGTGTATATTTATTGATTAATAAATATCATTTAGCAATGAATGACTAGGTGGTAGTAGGTACACTACATATCTGACGGGCTGTGTGTATGTTGTTAATATGTCAGAAAAGCGTTACGCTTTTGCATTGACAACAAGTATTGCATAGATCCGTACATGTTAGGGCATAGAAAGTCAGTCAGTAAAGCATTTACACAGGATAGGGGGGCGTGTATTTGCGTTGTCTTAAGATAGTCTCACCTTCCGCGACGCAGCAGTAGAGTAGTGTGTCCAGCAAAAATATCTTTGATTTTTCTCTACAGCATTGGTATTCAATGGAAATTTGTATGTACTGTGACTGTTGAAATTCCAAACTCAATGTGTAACCGCGCAGCCATCATCAATAGAGTCTCTCAATATTTTGAACTCTGTGTTTTAACGCACTTGAAATCGAAAACACCGTAAACCAAAAAAGACATAGAGCGGTTTTAGTTTAGCTAAGAACAAGTTTCAAGCCAAAGTGAGTGCTTGACTTTTAATAGGTCTACTATACTATATATATAAGTATTCCACCAAAAATTGTCATCACACGAACAACACAAAACTGTGCTAAGTTATATTTTCAGCGATACGCCAAATAGGAGTCTATTTGTTCTAAGCTTCCAATTTATTAATCTACGTGAGCATAAATATCATTATCTTTTTCTACCCTCAACAACTTGTGCTACAAGTGTATATTAAGTTTGTCCACTTGACTTGAGATAGGCTCACTTTTCGTTATACCGATCGAATCAGAATCGAATCTAAGCTTGTCTGTCCGCCTGAGCGTCTTGTTCCTTTGTGTTCAAGTTGCGAGCGAGGAAAGTTTTGAGATATTTTGATGAAATTTTGTACATTAACAGGTTTCGGCTCAAAGACGAAGGCTATTAAAAATGGTTAGTATCGGGGCATTGTTTTGACCACAATTCCATATAACGCATCATTTTGAAAGCTCGTTTTATATAACGAAGTTGTTATATGAAATAGTAGATGTAGAATATGTAAGAGATGACCGTGATCCACTAAAGTCTGTTTACTTATTTATCCAAAGAGTTTGACGTGAGCAAAAGAAACACTAGTCAAGGTGCGGAAATAATCGACGACGATCTGGAAGTGGTAGCGAATACGATCATTTGTTTCGTTGTTCTTTAAAAAAAAATTTAGTAAAAAATGCAAGTCGTCGTCTTTCTCAAATTCTGTATATGCTCTGTGAAAAAACAATAACAACTTTTATGACTTTAACTAATTAATTGTGTTGTGTCATTATTTCGTGCTTAAAGTCTTAGTATGGAAGGAAAATTTTTGTTCACTATGGGATAGTGGATTTATAAATGTATGTCCTAATTTATCCATGTGTAAGTATTTTGATATGCAATCATTTAAAGGAATCTAAGGCCGCGCTTGATCGCCTAGTTTTTTAAAAGATTCTCATCCCCTTTCACTTATTCATGAATTCATTAATCAAATCATTTCGAAACAATAAAAATACGAATCTTTTGCTCTGGCTGCTGTGATGATAACAACATATTCAGTGTAGAATATGAAAATAACATAGCAATAGAATTGTATCGTCTCTGAAGTGGTTAATTAAAGTAGTAAAAGCGTATCATAAATTCGGATAAAAATGTGTAAACATTTTCGGAGAAGAGGGAATACAATCAGTAGCACTAAAAGCGAGTAATTGAGAATCGCTTTAGAGCTATTATATGCTGACTACTTTAATCTATTTAAAGCATTCAAGTGAACAATCTTGAAGTGGAGCGTATTTGTATTCACATGTAATATAATTGTATCAAGATTGTTAACATTTTTTCTAGTTTTTTTTTTTTTTTTTTTAAATGTTTAATTGAGTATACAAGTCTTAACCTTTTTTTTTTTTTTCTTTTGTTTGACTAAACAAGAAGAATAAGTATATCAGATATAATATTTAGTTCTAAATTAATTAAGTCGAAAGCTTAAGTCGATGTTGTCGTTGAGTACTTCTTTCTACTTTTGATGTACATACATAATGATAGCAATTGCAACTGTTAAATTGTTAACATTAGTTGATGATATGCTAGAAGCAACACGCTTTACTTAGTTAATTGATTCACGATTGATGATTTATGTTAGTGCTCCACCTTTTCGGTAAACATATATTTCATGTACACACAACTCAAATCACATCAAAAAAATCTTGACATTAGCAACGCATCATCGTCATCGTCATCGTCATCGTCATCATCATCATCATCATCATCATCATCATCATCATCATTACCGTCATCGACGTTGTCATCGAAAGCATTACACTATCGCTGTATTCGTCCTCGTACCCAACAATCAACAATAGCAAGAACGCCAACAACAACAACAACAACAACAACAATAAGAACGACGATGAAAACATCACTTCATTAAAACATCAATAGCAGCATGCAGTTCTTTTTTTTCTTCTTCTTCTCTTTTTTGTTTTTTTTGTTTTTTGCTCTCTCCCGGTGTTTTTGCATAAAAATCACTTAATATTATAATGGGCAGACATCATGTTCACAGCATTTTTTCACTTCATCAACACCAATTGGAAAAACATACACAAACACAAACGTACAACAACTGAGGTGAATCAAAAGTGATCATAGCATGAGTTGAATGAAGTTTGGTTGCAGAAAAGTCAAGTAATATGAAACACACAGGAGCGCATTTGTTCAATTGTATTTTTATTTTTATTTTGCGACGCGGCATAATGTAGAAGAAAAATGCAACAATATCAACGCAAAGCACACACGACAAACTGCTGAGCATAGCAGACACAAAGCATTTTATTGTTATTTTCTTGTCAGTCAGGTAATTTTCGGCATAATGCTTTTTAATATGCTACGGCGTGCTATATACACAAAAGCATTTTTACACATGTATGTATGTATTATATATTTGAACATATGTACGTGCATGTAGTTTATAGGTATACAAGACAACGGACAAATGTATGAAGCGACGTTAAATACAAGCGCCAACAACTAACTAACTTCAACCGCCAGCAAACCTATTTAGGCGTAACCCTTATAAAACAAAAAGAACAAAAAATAAAAAAAAAGGAAAAAATAACAACGAAACAAAAAGCACGAAGAAACCGATCAACGCGCGATCCAATGTCAGCAAAAAGAAAAGAAATAAAACAAAAAAAAAACAAAAAAAAAACAAACTACAGAACTTAAAGCAAAATTGAACACACACAAATACATATAAAACACTTTCAAGCCTTTGAATGGAGATTTGTTCGTTGTTGTTTGGTGGCTTGTTTAACTTTATTGAGATCCTTTTTGTTTTGCGTTGTTATTGTATGTTAACGCGCGGGCCAGCGTACACTTTGTTGGTGGTATGGTCTGGTTGCAATGTTTATTGTGCCACCAAAAGAGTTGGGCATAAATGCGGCCGCAACTAAAGCTTTAATGTCTGGCATATATATGTGCGGCTACATGTGTGCATGCGTTTTATGTTCAAGTTTTCTTGGCCTAATTGGTGGGTAATGACGTGCCTTGCTGGGACTTTCTCAATGCCTCTCCCAGTCTCTCTTTCTTTCATGCAACTTTTCGGTATGCGATGCATGCAAGTTAATGTATAATAGCATTGTATGTATACGTATGCATGCATGCATGTGTGCGTGTGCGGTCCCATGCTTATAAAAGCGTTTAACAAGTTTTATTAGTGCTTTCAACGTGTTAAAAAAAAAAACACACAAACACTTACAAATTCTGTATGGAACGTGCGTCTTGTTAGCAATTTAACTAAACGTTTTCTTCGTTTCGTTTCTTTTTTTTTTTTTTTGTTTTCGTTACTTATTGTTGTTCTTACTTCTTTCTTGTGTGTGTGTGTGTGTGTGTGTGATCAATTTTAGTGCATCAAAGTTTGGCTCAGTGGTTACGGGTGAATCCATTTGCAAAGCCAACAAGTGATACTGTTCACAGCTCATAATTACCAACCGTTGCCTACGGTTACACGCGCAGCTTCCACATCGCCATGCTTTCGAAAACACCTTTGGTGGTCGTAAATCATACGCTATTGTCACACACTAATTTTATTATAGACCCTATAATGCAGCAAGTAAAATTTTGATATTTTTTTTTCACTTTGCTTTCAATATGGACTCAATTTGTTTTGTTGACGATGAATATGTCTCGCAAAACCTTTTCGCTTATTAGAATTTATTTTAGTTCTCTGAGGATGATATAAAAACTGTTGTAAACTTTACACATTTTTTTTTTTGAAAGTTTGAAACTATTGGGTAGTCGCAGTAATGATGCTGCCATTGTTTATGGTCTAAAAATTATTTTTGAAAAGCTTAACAGATTTTAGAAGATAAGTGACATTTTGTTTGCAATGGTGTGTGGATAGGCTTTCTTTCTTTTTGCACTCTACATCACTTCTGGTACAAGGATATATTACGTTTGTGAGTATGTAGTATCTGAAAAAATTTGGGATAGACGTGTCTTTTATTATACTTATTAGGAAAGCTTGTTTGTCCGTCTGTGCTACTTGATCAACACGTGGGTCGCAGTTTGTGAGATATTTTGATAAAATTTGGCACACGGGTGTGCTTCGGTTCAACGGCGGATTCCATTGAGAATCAGGCAGCTTTTTTGAACATTTTCCCCATAAAGCCTTGATTTGAAAAGTTGTTATATTATTGAATAACTGATGTATGGTAAATAAAGGTGGGCAATGGCCCACTATAATGTTTTCACTTGTTTTACTTATCCGTTGAGATGGGACTAATTGTACGCAGTCAAACAAATCTATGTATTGATGTCTCCCCAATAGCTAAAGGACAAAAGGAAAAATTTGTAATTCAGTCTCCAAATCGTCTTCCTTAACCGTTTGAGTCCCAGCGCGATTGCGCTGCTTGGGATTCTTCGACAGTGTTTTTTCAATACCGTCTGGGTTTTTTCGACATAAACTCTGAACAGCGCAATCGCGCTGCTTGGGATTCTTCGACAGTGTTTTTCCAATACCGTCTGGGACTCAAACGGTTAAGACTTTGTTCGTAAAAATTATAATAAAATATTAAAGTTATAAAGTTTACGCATTATCGCATAGCGAAGATTGAATAAATTTCCAAAAAAAATTTTTTTTTTTTTTAATATAACCGACGCCTCTTATCATATCTCTATTTATATATTTGGGAATTTAGCCGCCAGTTGCCAACTCGATCGCGAAAAGCTGGAGCTTTGACGTGTGTTTAAAGCCGTGGTTGACATTTGAACAATGTTTTCTTCGAAGCATAACTAACTTCAAAGTAAAGTGCAACTTATTTTGATACAGTGAGCTTTGATTAGACCTGTTTGCCGTATAACGATTATGTGAAAAAGGGTTCCCAACTCCATTTGGTACGCTGAACCACTATTGCAGAACATTTTTTAAATAATATGCCATATGGGAGGTAGTTGCAGAAGTAGTCCGATCCATTTCATTGTCAAAAAAGTGAGTCTTTCGAATAAAACGCCTCAGCGGATCATATGGAAATATCTCAAATACTGCGAGGGTTAAGTTGAACTCAAGAATAGAAGACACACAAGCAAGTGCAGAGACAGACAGACAGACAAGCTTAAATTGATCACAAAATGATTCTTAATTAATTGATATAACAAAAAGTAGGTTTATCTTAAGTCCCTCCGCCTGAGCAGCAGAGTAGATCAGAATCGCGACTACCAAGTCCATCTTTCTAGCGGATTGAAATCTCAGTGCAGCAGACCATATTTGATCGTAGCTTTATTGAGTGCCTAGTCGGTAAAGGCTGAACACCTACTAGATTGAGGCCACTCCTTATCTCTTTCTATTTCCTCACTTCTCTCTTAGCATCATCGTGCTACGCGCACGCTTAGTATGTGAGCCGACCACTCCTATTTGCACATTTGCTTTAAGTAAGCTTTAACATGTATGTATTTAAAACCAAAATTAATCAAGGCCATGCAAATGTAGATTAACGCTTATTGATATGCCTACAATGGAAAAAAGATGCGAGATATTGGGTGTGGTCTTTATTGCAAAATTGATTAAAGGGAACATCGTTTAATGTACTTGGCAGCTTCAGGAGACCCTATGAAACAAATGATTTGTCTCACTGCCGCACAAGTCATCAGCTTCGAAACCCTTTTCGGGTGCCTTGTATGATCGATAAATCTAATATTTAATTGTTTGATCCGTCACTAAATTCTATACAAATTATCAAGGGCGCCGTTTTACGAAGATGCTGCTAGCATCCCTCAAGCTATAAAGATACTTTAAAGATAATTTCCTTCACTCGCACGATTCGAATTCAATTACTATTTACAGCGAATTTCCTTTTGCCTAAAATACATACACTTCCCTCTCTTGTTCACTAAATTTTTGCTATTTAAGTTCGCTGTAGTACAAGACCGAAATCGCTTTACTCATAGTGTATATTTTTGCGATCTGTAACATAATTTGTTGTTCAGAAACAATTCTTGCTTTTCGTGTTGAGAAATTTGGGATGGAATCCGAAAGCCGTTTTGCCATGATAAGAAAATACCATACTTTTCGGACCATAAATTGCACCTTTTTACATAGAAAAATGGACTTAAATTTTGGGTGCGTCTTATGGATCGAAGGTAACATTAAAATATTTTTTCAGGTTTGAGATTTAAAAGAATTGACAACAATAGTGCAGGTGACATTAATGAGACGAGCGTTAATACCGAGAGTCAACTGAGTATGAGTTATGTTAAAACTTAATAAAAATTTTAATTCAAAACTAATATTAAAATATATTTGTTTAAAATAATGTTACAAATTTGAAGTGCGTCTTATCGTCCGGTACATCTTATAGTTCCCAAAATCGGTAGATTGCTATTATTAGTTCTTCACTTCCATGAGAAGTGGAGATTTATATTAGATACATCCATCCTAATTAAGCTAATACATGGCGATGTTGACTCGCCAGACTTATAAGGAAAGATAAACTTGAATGTCCCCAATCGTTCGTCAATCGTTCCTATTCGTAAAGTTTAACCAATGCAGATATAATTAGGGCCTTTTTAACCCATTTAAGATCCTTTTGTGCCTATAATTTAATTTCAATATTGGATTCGTTAAAGAACATAAAACTCGTAATCCTTAATACGATCGACAGCTTGGTCGATGTCGTATTTGGATGAAATTAACTAATAAATCTAGTATCGGTTGTCAAGAGGGCGTGTACTTGAAAGCTTTGACATAAGAGTTTGGTATAAGAATTTTCTAGGATTTTTTGTGCTTCAATTACATTTTTCTATGTTTATATAAGTTGAAGTGAAAACGTTATGTCAGCTATAGTTGCTACCTTAAATTAATTATTATTTTGCGTTAGCCCTTTATATGCTATGGAATTATTATTTGTTTTGCTTTTGCAAATTCTACATATATTCTTATGCTTAAACAAATAAATTATCATATTCTTCTTCTTCTTCTTGTATCGGTTGGTTATTTTTCTTTTATGTAAACAAATATAACATAACGCAAGACCTTTCCTGGAAAAGGTAAATTTATGGGTATAAAAAATATTTATTTATTTATTTATTTTTTTTATTAAATTTCCTCTCCCACGGCACTCCTTATTACGTGTAATAATTAAACAATACTTGTAAACGCGAAATGTTTAACAATACTTAGAATATTGGAAAAGTCCCTTTAAAAATATTTCAAGTTGAAAAGGGGGCAAAAATACATCACGAATTAAATGTCGTTTCTTTAACATGTTAATGTAAAAGTAGCAATAACAAGAACTACTACAATAACAATAACATAACATCACAACAAACAACAACTTCTGACTTAGATAAAGCGAAACAGAAATTAGCACACATTTTCTTATAGAATGTCATTACATTCGGTTTTCAGTTTCAGGTCTTTTTTGCTTTTTTTTGCTGCCATAATTAAGAAATTGAAGCGACATGCAGGCAGGCAGGAAGGCAGGCAGGCAGGCAGGCAGGCAGGCAAACAAAACTTCTCAGCACCAACAGAACAATTTCTCAAGGATGACTTATCTATCTCTCGTATATGTATATGTGTAATGTGTAAGCGAACAACAGAAAAAGAAAACCAAATCATGTTAAATATTGTTGTTGCTGTTGTTTCCTATTAAAAACACATTGCATGTGTTAATATGCAAATGCGTATTAAACATGAATTTGTGAAGCCTTTCTTAACGAAAAAATCTTTTCTTTTTTTTTTTTTTTCTCTTACCCAATAACTTGTTTATCTGTGTGAATAAAGAATATAATGAAAAAAAAAAAAAAAACAGAAAATAGAATAAATAAATGGTAGTAATTTTGATGAAGATATTAACTACATATAAACTTATACATCTGTGTACATGCATAGGTTTACGTAAGTAAGCCAATACAGTTGGCAAATGTAAAATGGTCAATTTGATGTTAGATTACAAGTCATTTATGAGAGAAAACCTACACACAAAACTCAATTTATTTTACACTTTATAGTTTATTGGTTCAGTTAATGAATTTGCAAATCTTAAATTATATATATATATATATATATATATATATATATATATATGTATATATGATATTAAATGACATGTATAGCGTTGCGGGCAATGGTTTAGACTCAATAAACGTATAATTAGCGTTTTAATAGACGCTTATGGATATCGATATGAACCGAAAACGATATGGAACTAGCAAGTGCGTACTCTGCACTG